TATTGCCTTAAAATTTTAAGTTGGTTGCACTGGAAAAAGTAAGTTAATACAATGAAGGAGATTAATTTAATCATCAGAAACTCAAAATAATAAGTTATCTCAACTAAATAAATTATTATAAAGTTGATTTGACAATTGAAAATATGTTGTGATAACAAATCTTGAAAATATTTTTTTTACAGTGTGTATTGGAAACGTACGGAACCGAACCGAACCGTGAATTTTGTGAACCCTTACACCCCTAGTGTTCACAGTTCGCAGGCTCACAGTTTTGGATTGTTCTCAATCAATGAATACTGCACACTTATTCCAAGTAATTGCTTATGATCTGCTGTTAATGAATTGTGACAATTGTATATTTTGTAATGTTGCGTTATAATAAGGGTGTGTATTCTATCTCCCTCATCTGTTTGAATTAGCAACTGGAAGTAGTAAAGACATTTCAAAATAAGAGTTACTGTCTATTTCAGACTTGTTTATAATTAAAAGTCCCATATTATGAATTCTAAAAGTATTTTCTCATTGATATTATTGGTGTTTTGGTTACACAAGAAGCTGTATCTGGCATTTAATTCAACGTAAACCCTCACCCCCAAGAACATGATTTAACACAGTGAATATCATAGGTTTTACTTGCATGAGCACAATAATTCATTTGTTGCCTTTATTTAAACGCATTATTATTGTATGAGCAAAATCCCAAATCTCACTAGTAATATTAATGTATTTTTATGTTTTCATGCTTGTGAAAATATAATTTCAAACTGTTTATTTGACCTGTTATCACCTCCCCAACAGTGGCACTCCATTTTATAGTCTGTTGTTCCTTTATACATTTCCTTTATTTACAAGAAGTAAAAACATTATCCTGTTTTCACATTCATCCACACCTGCTCCTCCCCGACTGCCAGCAGACATGTTCATTTTTCACTCGCCGCACATCTCCTTCATTTGATTATTTTTCACCTCAAAAGGACAGTTAATTCCTACAATTTCTCACACGGCGTGACCTTGAAGTTGCAGGAGTCAGCTGCCCGTGGCCCGTGTAGAGTAATGGAACTAAAGAAATGCTATTTTTTTTTTTAGAGAGAGAGGGGGTGGGAGAAAAGATGAAGAATCTGCCATCTACGCATTGTGACTAGTCCATTAAAAGCACGAAATGAAGGAAGGAGAAAAGGGGAAGAGAGAAGCCAGAGATACTTTGATAAGTTGTTGCACCTGTGTTAACCTTGATGGTCACCCTGACTCTGGAAAAGGAGGGGGTGGTGGTGGCAACATTTGTTCTCTCTCTCTCTATAGTTGCTTCACACTAGATTCCTGCTCCATCTATCGCCGAGGGAACAAGGGATGGGGAGAAATCAATACAGAGAGGCGTTGGCTGACAGCAGTATCGCTCCGGAATTGAAGTGCCCGTCAGCCTTTGTCATTCTGTGACTTTTGTTCGCTATTGTACTTTTAAGCCTTCATTTTTCTTGGTTGTCACTTTTTGCTTTCCTGCCTTGCTTTTGTCTGAATTCCCCTGGCTGCAATTTTTAAGTGGTGACTTTAAATTCTGAAAGAAAGTGGGGCAAAAGATCAAGTGCAATGAAAATCTTGGATTCGATTGGCCGAATGACATGGTATACGCACTTTTTTTCCTTCATTTTTCATTTTGTTTCTCTGAACGATGCGCGCTATATTTGCATTCCCTCAGATGCCGCAAGGACAGAGGCATCAGTAGGACAGTTTCCTGGTGTAAATGAAACCCTGAGGGAGGGACTGGCGCGGAGAGAAAGATGATAGCCACGGTGCTGTGTACTTCACTGTCAACAGAGTGCAAATCAAGCAGTTTAACAAGATCCCCACTGTTTTCACTGCTTAGGCTCGCTCTCGAAGAACACCGCAAACCCTTCACGGTGAATGTAATGGACTTACATGCGCGTCTGGCCATGTTGTGTCCCACTAACTAATTCACATACACAAGGGCTGATGGAACATAATGAGTTCTGGTCCCTGGCAGATGATGATTATTTTGTTTAACCTTGCTACCCTGTTTAGGGAGAAGAGGATAAGTCTGCCGTCCATGATTGTACACATGTTGTTACAGAGAAATGCTGGGATCTGCTTACACTGGCAAATAGCGAAGTCGTCATTATTTCATGGTGCTTTGGTTAGCTATAAATTCTGAATAGAAGAGATTATTTAAGAGTGATTTTTGTTCCACAATAGGCCTGGACTTTATACCGTCCCTCATTGCCATAGATGCAGCATCACACACATTCAGAAGATTTCAGAAACCAATTAGCTTTTCTCAGAAGACATGAAAAGTTGAGATTCCTCGATTATACCTACGGTTATAATTTAAAATGTAACATACAAGTAAACTTAAATGACTATTTTTTGTTAAATGTCATGATCAGGATTGATTTAATAATATTTAAAAAAAAAAAAAGTATTTAAATATTTTAAAAAAACTATTTAAAGTATTTAATATTTAAAAAAAAAACGATAAAAAAATCACACAGATCAGAAAAAAAAAACCAAACTATACATTTAATTATATATTTTTTAATAATAAAAATATATATATATATATATTTTTGATGTATTTGGAATAAATACATTTACATATTTTATAATATTATATATGATTTTATTATATAATCATTGGCTTACTTTTGTTACACATGTATGCATTTGTTTGGACCTTTATTGTAATGCTGACTAAATAGTTTGAGACCATTGTAGACGGCACCGTTTTTTTCTTTGTAATAATATGGCTCTAATGGAGGTATGTCGTGATTGTAGTCCATTGAAGGAAATGAGTGCTGACCCTGTCCGATTCAGTTCTCCAGAACACAGAACATTTGGAGATGTGGATTATTACTCTGTCTGAAGTCATAAACACATTACTTACACGGTTTGGTTTCTGCCGCTATAGTTTGTACTTCAACTGCGCTGTGACTGGAGATTGTGGTTCCCCCTTCAGTGGAGTGCCAAACATGTGCAAGACCCTTTGAATTAAGTTCACCTTGTAGGGTTTCCAAAGCCTTATGATGTCACTACAGAATTACAGCCCCAAACGTGATGATAATGTCATCGCTATGTATTTCACCTGAATGTTTCCTATAATTCAGCCTGTAATTTCAGCTGCAAGGAAACCATTTGTCAGGAAGTTCATGAAAATTACAAAGCCCATTATGGAGCTCAGGGATTTGGTGCCGTTGACACTAGTTGATAAAGTGCCTGTTTATGCCAAAGTGTTTGAACGCATGACAGCTAATTAATAATGTGTTAATCACTAGTTGAAGGGAACACCGAAAAAATATGGATGATTGCTCTTTTTGTCTCTGAAACTATTCTGATAAGGCTCAGAAAGCACATTTAGATCAAAATTCTGCAAATTACGCACGTGCTTCAGAGATTAAATTTAAGAATGTCTCATAAAAATAATATTATAATATTACAATTTAAAAGAGTTCTCTGTGCACTTAATATAGTGTTCAAAACAAGCACTCTTATTCTTATTTTTTACTCCATTCTTTCATCAAAACGAATGTAACCGTCTAGAATTCTCCCTTTCTTCCCCAGACGTGACCTTCTACGCTGAACAGAGACAAATCGCTGTCTTTCTTTCCTTTCTGTTATTCACGCTCTTTTGTTACGCCAGACATCCAAATAGGTTCACATTTAAACATTCACCCTTTACCTTTTATCTCTCTTTTATACCGCCATCCTCTTCTCATGGCTTTAAGGTCACTGCGGAGTTAAGAACAGCGAAATGAGACACAGATTGATAATTAGGAGAGGGAAGCCTCCCTAATGTGATTTATCTCTATGGATTTTCTGTCATACATGAAGAGTCGATGCTCAAATTGGAGAGGAGGGCCCATTAGAAGGCACTTTGGAGCGTTTACCGCTAACTTTGCCGAGGCAGGCTTCTGCGTCTGCCGCCGCTGCCACACCAGACCGCTGCCTTTACTGTATTTGTTGTCTGAGATGGGTGCTGTCCAAAGCTAATTTAATTTAGGGCCATAACACGCAATGGATGAAGCTAAGGGAATTGCATTAAAACAAGCTCTAGTGGGTGCTGTAACCTTTCCGCTTGATTGCTGTTTGCTAGACGTTGCATCAGAATCAGGAAAAAATATAGCCGTGTTGTTTTGTGCTTTGTGGGCTGTTTTTGTTTATTCTGGGTTGAATTTTGTACGAGCATCTCACCAGCTTTGTTGCTGATCTCGTGATTTATTGATTCCGATTGGGACATTGGTTTTCACAAAGGACGGCTTATTCACTCTAAAAAATGCTGGGTTGTTTGAACCCAATTTTGGGTAAAATATGGACAAACCCAGCCATTGGGTTACATTTTTAAATTACATTTTTAACCCAATGGCTGGGTTTGTCCATATTTTACCCAAAATTGGGTTCAAACAACCCAGCATTTTTTAGAGTGTTCATTTACTCTTCTACTTTGGTCGTAAGAGAGAAAACACAATTTAAGTTTTATCAACTTGATATTTACAGTGTGAGGTGCTTTGTTTAAGGATTGCATGTGAGTTCAAAGGGTTTTCTGATAACAAATTCTGACAAAGAAAAATGTCTCCTTGTGCATTATGGGTAGTTTCTACATTTTTTAGCGTAGCCCAAAGGCATTAGCAAATACATGTCCAGTGTTATTAATCACTGTGACAACGGCTGGAAATGACCCAGAGTTCCATTTGTTTCCTGTGTGTATGGAGTTACCTCGCACACACACACACACACGCGTTCACACACTCTAATGATGTAGTCCGCTTTGTTTTCTACACCCCGGGTCAGATGGACACTATTCTTTCTCAGGTACATTTTGCACAGGAGTACAATTGTGCCTCCAAGTAACTTTTCGCATGTTATATTTATTATGTAGCTTTTAAAGAAGGATGCATCATTTAATTTAAAGGTTATTATGTTCATTGATAAAAAGAATCAATGCATAGAAGAGCGTGATTACTCACATATGTGCTGTTTTCGTCTCTCTGCAGTCTCAATGTGCTCAGTATGCCGCTGAAAAACGTGATGAGGAGAAGATGTGCGATCACCTGATCAGGGCCGCCAAGTACCGGGATCACGTCACGTCCACCCAGCTCATACAGAAGATTGTAAACATCCTCACAGACAAGCACGGTGCTTGGGGATGCTCTGCTTTCAGGTACAATTTCAGTCATTTAACTTTGATGAACCAAATTATCTTCTAACAGCTTTGATGACACTATAGCGTTTACTTAAAGGTACAATATGCTGGATTTTTGCAGTAAAATATCCAAAAACCACTAGGCCAGTGTTATATATTTTGCTTAGTTGATTACTTACAATATCCCAAATGTTTCCAACTATTTGTAAATCATGAGAAAATTGCGTTTTTTAACCAAGGAACTGAGGATTCACCAGTCAATGACGTCAGTTTCCCCCAGTTTCCCCCTGGTTTGACCTCGTACTGCAACAGACGTGGACAACCGGGTCGGTTATGCCCGTTATGCGTGCTCAACAGCGTGAGCGTCCCTAGCAGGGTTTTGTTCAAACATTATGCACCATAGCAAGTAGACTTTGAGACAAAAAGAGGACTAAAATGAAGATCAACACCTTTCGAGATGCCGAGAGCTCCACGTCCGCGGCTAACTTCGACTTGACAGAGATGCGAGTGTTCCATGTTACTTGAGCAAATTAATGTTATTTAGTTCAACATGATGAAATGTTAGAATATCTCTGTATGTTATTCTCTAATGTTAATCTAGCTTAGTCTCATACAGCCAACAAACAACCTAAGTTAACTAACAACGTTCAACACACTCAAATGCCGTTTAGTGTTATAGTGAAACTGTTAGAGCAAGTGAAACTGTGCTGCGTTACCTCAAGTTTAATTCCTCTAATAAACTGACCTGTGTGAGTAATTCAGCGTTGTTGCGTGTTTAAAGATGTCAAAGGGGATGATTACATAACATTTATGTGAGACACTGTTGCTGTGTGTGGATGCAGGGAAGACAACCAGAAAACATAATTTAAATGTTAAGGAAAACGTTTATTCTCCTGAATGAATGAATTAAACATGTTCACTTAAATTAGATAACAAATTAGTTAGAAGAAAAATCAATAAAATACACGAGAGAGAAAAGAAATTAGGAAAAACAAGAGTGTCGTCAAATTAATGAAATAAGCAAAACATAACTGATATCTAATTTTATGAATACCCGCTAAACTAACTGCCACAAAAGGAAAATTTAGAAAGAAACCCGAATTCTTCAGTGGAATAACGCCGCCTTAATTAAACTACACTAAATAAAAACAAAAATACAATAATGGCGAACACTCCACGCATAACTAACACACAATGATTCCTACCTCCCGTTCTATGATTTCGCAACAGAGAGCTCAATGCTTAAGATGTAATCAGATCGGCTAGGCATCTCTCAATGTCGTATCAAAACTCGGGTCAGGCAAAAGAATTTACTCAATTATCAATCATAAAGACATAGCGTAAATCGTGATAACGTTTCGACAATGTGCTCAGAACACGCAAGTTGGTTGAGATCTGGCGAGGATCTCACTTCATATTTATGAATGGGCCTTTTAAAGCCACAGCAGAGCAGTAGATTGGTTGCGCAGATGGTGACGCCGCCCTCAATCACGTCATGTACCCGCAAACAGCCAATGTTCGGTCACCACCTGAAATCAATGAATGGAGACAGAACAAAAACACAAACAAACAAAAAATACATGTGGAACGTAACAAGCGTGCAATTTGGTAGAATTAAATGTCCTTATTCCTTTATATCCGCGGGACTCGCATTGCGTTTGGCACTGGTATACGTCTAGCAATCGCGCCCTGCTTCATACTACAGCCATGTTAAAAACATCAATGTATTCACTCATCCATAAAAGATCCATCAGCTTGACGACAAGATCCATAATTCCGCTTAATACGGAATACACGTCATTAATATACGCCTTTGTTATTGTAAGAGGTTGGCGACCCCTGGTGGCAAAACAATCTTACACATTGTACCTTTAATTTTTGAGATAAAGAAGACTAAAGTTGTGAATATACTGTATATACAAGGCTTAAACTATCTTTTTGCCACAAGTTTTACTGACCATGAAAGTCATGACACCAAAATGTAAAAATTCACAAACAGCAGGATTATTAGGACGCTGTCACTTTAAGAATAATGCACGGATCCAATATACTGATGCTGTACACTCATGCTGAGTTTTCTTTCCTGACTGTTTAGTTTATATTCACTTAATGCTATGTTCATGCTGCACGATTTTAGCCCTGATTTTCACTCACCGACAGATTTTGCAAAATCACAGACAAAACCCGAAATCGGAGGCAAATCAGTGCTTGTTCACGCGAGTGACAATCGTGCAGTGTACATTATCAAAGACACAATCTGAGAGAATCAATGATACGTCGCCGACACCTCTGAGATATTTGGCATGCTAAATATCTGCACCTGTCTGCGATTCAAAATCCAACTGTGTGAAATGTGTGTTCTAACTGAAAATTACATGAGAGTAGACAGAGGAGTATTCACACTGTCTGAGACATGGCTTTCTGTGTTTAACACTGTTTAAACTTCCCACACTTTATTATATGTATATTTATTCCCAACCTTACTCTTCATTGTCTCAAAATTACACTTGTAATTCTACAGAAGTGTATGAAACTAGATTTTTTTTTCTAGCTTGACTTTTAGTTGCAAGTCATTGCAACTTATTATGGACTTTTTGACTTTTGACAAACAGTTTTTAACTGCTGTTTTGGGTGGGATTATCTGATAGATTACCAATGTAGACCACCAATGACCTAGTGATTTAGTTTTTCCTCAAAAGCATAATTATATCACACTGATTAACATGACTTTCCAACCGGACTGACTTCCTTATTGGAACTTGGAGTAAAGCCAACTAATCAGATTGGAACTGCTGATTTCAGTCAGCGCTAGGGCTGAACTGCTATATCAGATTTTCACTATGCAATTATCATGGAATGTCAAAAGAGTTCACACTAATGATATTATTATGATATCTATAGAAAATTGTAATAAATTAATAAAAATGCTATCAGACATAGTCATCTTTAATTTTGTTTATTTTTTCTTGCCTCTTTTTGGCCAATAAATCACACTCAAATTGACTGTAGGAAAGCAGAACATAACGATACAGAAGCTCACAAAAAGAACGTGCTGTTAATTTGCTATTCATGCATTTTTACGGAATCCAAAAAACAACTTACTACTACTTTTCTCGTTTTATAATGGGTATCAAACAGTGTTATGGTATCATGGTTATTGTCAATATATCATTATATATCTTTTTTTTTTTTTTTTTTTTTTTTTTTGTGCATGCACCAAATAGTCATTAAACAGACTTTGGTCTGTCTAGTGATGGGCGTGTCATCTTTCTTTCCATTTTTTTTTAGTCCATTTCCTGTTTTATAGTATACCTGTATCCTACTGTACCCCACACCAAACCATCCATAATCATTAGACCTTGTAGTATTTACCACTCTCATGATAGGCTAAAGCTATGTTTCCGCCCATTATGGGCTCTAATGGAGTCCTACAGTCATGGTTCTGAGCCTGGGTTATGTCTTATTGCTTCAGTTTCTGCATATGATGCATTGCTGTTGGAATGGGATGAAAGCCAGCGTATTTTACCTGGCCATTACTGAAGGAAACATAAGGAGCCATATTTATTTCTGTAAACACAGAAATATACGTTAATGATGTCGACATGCACTGGTTTTCTCTAATTCAGTTTGCTGTCTAAGAAGCTCATTGGCTTGGTAAATTTTCTTTCTTTCTTTCTTTCTTTCTTTCTTTCTTTCTTTCTTTCTTTCTTTCTTTCTTTCTTTCTTTCTTTCTTTTTTTCTTTCTTTCTTTGTCCTTTTTGTTCCTAACAAAATGTGTTCTCTGGAGATTTGGAGACCTGTCTGCAGTTTGTTGTACTGAGATTCCATGCTCTCTCTTACACACTCTCTCTCTCTCTCTCTCTCTCTCTCTCTCTCTCTCTCTCTCTCTCTCTCTCTCTCTCTCTCTCTCTCTCTCTCTCTCTCTCTCTCTCTCTCTCTCTCTCTCTCTCTCTCTCGCACGCTCAGTATTCTGTAGTCATATAATGGCAGAGTGCTCTGTTCTCTCTCTTGGCTCTCTCCCCATTACTAGCCTTTATGTAGCTTGGCTATTGATGACTTTTGTAATAGCATGCGATGGGCGCATGGTGACGCTGGCACAGTCTCAGAGTGTGTTTAATAAATCACAATCAGACCCTGCTGTTACATCAATACTTCTGCTCAATTACCCAGAAGGTCATGGGCAAAAATGCTGGAGAGCTGAGGATCGGTAACTACAGAAGAGAGAACAACATCTGGAAGTAAAAGAAGGGACACAGACACACACACACACACACACAATGCAACTTGCAGCTGCACGTCTACATTTGGTTAATTTCTGTTCCTATCATGGTTTTTAAAATGGGGTTGGGTTCTAATTCACTTGGAAATTAAAACAAAAACGGTAAAAATAGTGATTAAAACCTTAAAATTAACCTTTGGTCTAATAAAACATTGGTACCTAGTCAATCGTTGTCTGAGATTTGTTTTCATGATAATCGAATGTAAAGAGTTTTATCTCTAAAAAATATTTAGCGCATGATGCTAGTAATGGGGACATTGACTAAGTAAAAATAAATCGCTAGTTTATACCACTAACAAGGCTCAAAATAGCCCCACACTCACACAGTAACATAATGAGGGTCCATACATGCAAAATGAAGCATTGAGAACTTTGTAAGTGTACAGACCGTTTAAAAAGAAGATACTTTATAAAGACAGTTCACTTCGTGTATACAGACAGGAGCCATCTTGGAAAATAGTCACGACAAGTCAAACCACGAACATCATGTTGAGTGATCTGAACTGTATGAAGTTCAGCGAACTTCTGAATGGTATTGAACGGCGTTCGGGAATCGACTTATCGAGACTATTTTCTAAGATGGCTCCTGTCTGTATACACGAAGTGAACTGTCTTTATAAAGTATCTTCTTATTAAACTTATTGAACGATTTTGATTTCTAGCAGTTTTTAGAGATAAAACTCTTCACATTCGATTATCATGAAATCAAATCTCAGAGAACGGTTGACTAGGTACCGATGTTTTATTAGACCAAAGGTTCATTTTGCTCCAGTTCTCCTTTAAATATGTATTGTGATAAA